AAATGACAGGGCATTAGATTATGTGTAAATGTTTTGTTCCCGTTTAAAAAGTAAAGGTTTAAGTGCTGTAGTTCCACACTAGAACTGTGCTTCTCCGCACCCAAATTATGTAATCAGACATGTCCTTCTCACCTTGTATTTCTGAATAAGTGTTGAGTTACTGCAGAGGTTTGAAGGCTGGATGTGCTAAAATGAAAACTAGTGTGACACTTGAACATGGGGAACATGGGTGTTGTCTGTTTCTTGGAGCCAAAGTCCACTTACTATCTGCTAGCCTATTGTTTTTGTTCATATCAAGTTTATTGTGGATAATAAAATCCCCTGGAATTTATAATAAAGCCTGATCAGTGACTCCTGGAAGGTTTTGTATTAGTGAAAGTTTCTAGGTCCCCAAGCCACCAAAGTATGTTTATTAAAAAGTTTCCAAGGTCACATTCTTTCGATTCATTCATGGATATGAATCCTGAATCCTCTTAGTGTTTTGGACGCATTGGCCAAACGACTGACCTTCATAAACAGTTTGGCTTATGAACCACAGGAAACAGATGCTCAATCATCACAATGTGTTAAAAATGGCAAGGCTTGTGGATTTCCGTTTGTTTGGAAATGTTGTAGACATTGGATTGTGTTGTGATCGGATTAGCCACTCAATATCATATTGTGTAAGATTTCAATTAAACTATGAAGGTAATTATGATCACTTTCTGTATTGCCCTTAATATTGTATATCTTACGAAGAATATAATTTGTCAAAATAGTCAAATGTTCATCTGAACTGTATATTGAATCAGATCAACTTATTGCATAAACTTTTTTTGTCAAGCCCACTCAACAATAAGTGATATTATTTTTTCCCCCTCTTTGATTATCCTTACAGTTGCTAAAGGAAAAGATCAATGGAGTTGAGGGAACAAAACTGGATGAGGAATTCCTCAACATGGAGAGGGTATAAATATCAATCTCAGCCAAATAAAGAAAAAAGATTAGACATTTTAAAGATCTCAATGCATCAAAAAAGTCTTTTTTGTTTTTGTTTTTTATTGATTGTTTTATTGTAGAAAACTGATATTACCCACAAACTGATTCTCGACCTTGTTCCAAAAACTATAGGATATCTTCAGCCAAACCCAGGTATTATATTTAATAATATTTATTTATTATAAGATTTACAATATATGCTATTTATTATAATTGTGTATTATCGAAGCTATATTATAATATTTGTTACAATATTTAATTTGTTGTTGTTATATTTCATTGATTCTCTTTTTCTTTTTTTGTTCTTCAAGCATACAGAGCAAAGCTCAACATGCTCAGTACAGTGTCCAAAATCCGTGGGCAGGTGAAGTCCGTGGGATATCCTCAGACAGAGGGCATTCTGGGAGATTGCATGCTGTGCTATGGCAATGAGCTTGGAGCTGAGTCTGGTTTTGGTATGTTTAAGACAAAAGAAACACAATGGGTATTTTTTACTGCTTTAAAAATGTCAAAATACCAGTTTTGAGTTTTACTACAATTGTAGGTTTTGCTCTGCTTGAAATGGGAGAGGCGCTGAAACAAGTAGCCCAGGCAAAAGACTGCATGGATGTCCGAGTGAAACGAACCTTCATTGATCCTCTGCAGTCCTTGCAGCACAAAGAGCTGAAGGAAATTGCGGTCAGTCTGTATGTTGTAAATGGGCTTGATATACACTGCCCTTCAAAAGTTTGGAATCAGTAAGATTTTTCATGTTTTTTAATGGAGTCTCTTATGTTCATCAAGGCTGTAAATACAGAAAATACAGAAAAAAACAGTAATATTGTGAAATATTATTGCAATTTCTAATATTGGTTTCCTATTTTAATATATTTAATATAATAATTTATGTCTGTGATGCAGTGCTGAATTTTCAGCATAATTACTCCAGTCTTCAGTGTGATATGATCCTTTAGAAATCATTCTAATATGCTGATTTATTATCAATGTTGAAACTATTGTGCTGCTTAATATTGTTTTTGGAACCTGTGATACTTTTTTATTTGATTATTTGATGAATAATAAGTTAAAAATAGCAGGATTTGTTCAATATAGAATTTTTTTCTAACCATATAAGTCTTTACTATCACTTTTTATCCATTTAACAAATCCTTGCTGAATAAAAGCATTAATTTCTTTAAAAAGAAAGAAAGAAAAAATTTACTGTCCCCAAACTTTGAATAGTAGTGTATATTGTAACACAAAATTTCTATTTTGAATAAACACTGTTCTTTTTAACTTTGTATTTATCAATGAATCCTGAAAAAAGTATCACAGGACACAAAAAATATTAAGCAGCACAACTTTCTAATATTGGTTTCCTATTTTAATATACTTTAAAATATAATTTATGTCTGTGATGCAGTGCTGAATTTTCAGCATAATTACTCCAGTCTTCAGTGTGATATGATCCTTTAGAAATCATTCTAATATGCTGATTTATTATCAATGTTGAAACTATTGTGCTGCTTAATATTGTTTTTGGAACCTGTGATACTTTTTTATTTGATTATTTGATGAATAATAAGTTAAAAATAGCAGGATTTGTTCAATATAGAATTTTTTTCTAACCATATAAGTCTTTACTATCACTTTTTATCCATTTAACAAATCCTTGCTGAATAAAAGCATTAATTTCTTTAAAAAGAAAGAAAGAAAAAATTTACTGTCCCCAAACTTTGAATAGTAGTGTATATTGTAACACAAAATTTCTATTTTGAATAAACACTGTTCTTTTTAACTTTGTATTTATCAATGAATCCTGAAAAAAGTATCACAGGACACAAAAAATATTAAGCAGCACAACATTCCAACATTGATAATAAATCAGCATATTAGAATGATTTCTGAAAAATCATGTGACACTGAAGACTGGAGTAACGATGCTGAAAATTCAGCTTTGCTTCACAGGAATAAATTATATTTTAAAGTATATTAAAATAGAAATCTGTTATTTTAAATTGCAATAATATTTCACAAAATTACAGTTTTTTTGTATTTTTGATCAAATAGATACAGCCTTGATGAGCATAAGAAACTTATTTAAAAAAAAATCTTACTGATCCCAAACTTTTGAACCGCAGTGCAATTTTGATGATAAAATCAGATTATCTGTCATTTTGTAGATGGTAGATGCATTGTGATTGTAGGATTTTGTATGTATTCTGAGCATTTAAAGTAAAAATAACATGTATTTTGTATTTTGTGAAGACATATACATAGTTTTTCTTCTTTTTCTGGTTATCAGTATCATCTGAGAAAACTTGAAGGTCGCCGTCTAGATTTTGATTACAAGAAAAGGCGTAAAGGCAAGATTGCAGACTCTGAAATTAAGAAAGCATTCGAAAAGTTTGAAGAATCCAAAGACCTGGCTGAGAGAAGCATGTTTAATCTCCTAGAGAGAGATGTAAGTTAGTGTGTATAGTGTGTATTATGATTTTATTATTTGTTTTTGCTTATTAGTTTACATTTTTTAACATTTTTGCAGACATTGCAGACATATTTGATTGTTTGACATTTTTGTTTTAGGTACAACGGATGCAACACCTCTCAGGGCTTTTAGAAGCAGTAATGGACTACCACCGCCAGTCACAGCAGATTCTCGAAAATCTCAGGAGTAGTTTGCAGAGCAGGTTAGAATCATGATTTCAGCTGTACTTATTTTCTATACTTACCTTGGTTTCATTTAATGTGCCTGTTTATTTTTCACTCTATACAGGATAACAGACGCAAGCAATCAACCCAAAAGGGAATTTGCATCTAAATCAGTTGTGAGCACAGTGTGCTACACGGATATTTATGGATTTTCCACATGCTCATCAGGTGTGATATTAAGTCACTTGATTACATTAAACAGAAACTGTTTACAAAGACTTTCTGAATTCTCTGCTAGTTTAAATGCTGTATTATGTACTACAGATACTGAGGTTACTGAAGCTTTGAGTGAAAAATGTAAGTCATTTTTAATGTGATGCACAAACTCTCAGCTATTTTATAAGGTAGCTGGAAGTACCCCAGCTTGCTTTGCTACTAATGTCTTTCAATCTTTCTTTACCAGATGCACCAGTTGTGGTTCACCCTCCTGACAAAGTCACCATTAAAGCTCAAACAACAGACAAGCCAACCAGCAACAGTAATTTTTTTTTTTGCTTAAAAGTGACCTTAACCTTGGAAAAAAGCTGTATAAATAAAATTTATTTTCTTCTTGTGTGCTAGATGATAGCGGCCCCCCCTTGGACCAGCCTTGCTGTCAGGCACTTTACAGTTTCCAGCCAGAAAACCAGGGAGAGCTAGGCTTTAAGGAGGGGGACATCATCATTCTGACCAGCCAGATCGATGAGAACTGGTGTGAGGGTATGATCAGAGGGGAGGCTGGCTTATTTCCCATGAATTACGTCAAAGTCCTTATACCTCTGCCACAGTGACGGCGGGAAGGCCCTGCAGCTGGACAGCATGAACTGTGCCAGTTTTTGGAGATTCAGAAACTTTGATAATTTGATAAATGTTAATATGTGAAGCACTTCTGAGCCCTTGCTGTATATTTATCTATATTATCACTATGCAAAATCATGTAGCCTGCCTTGTATTCCTTATCTGATTATTTTTTATGAATCTTATAATGTTAAATAAATATGCTGCTATATTAAAGTCTTAAGTATCCTTTATATGTGCACTATGAATGTATATGTGTCTCTGGACCACAAAACCAGTCTTAAGTCGCTGGGGTGTATTTGTAGCAATAGCCAACAATACATTGTATGGGTCAAAATGATACATTTTTCTTTTATGACAAAAATCATTAGGATATTAAGTAAAGATCATGTTCCATGAAGATATTAAAATTACAGTTTTTTTGTATTTTTGATCAAATAGATACAGCCTTGATGAGCATAAGAAACTTATTTAAAAAAAAATCTTACTGATCCCAAACTTTTGAACCGCAGTGCAATTTTGATGATAAAATCAGATTATCTGTCATTTTGTAGATGCATTTAATGTTGTGATTGTAGGATTTTGTATGTATTCTGAGCATTTAAAGTAAAAATAACATGTATTTTGTTGTGAATGAAGACATATACATAGTTTTTCTTCTTTTTCTGGTTATCAGTATCATCTGAGAAAACTTGAAGGTCGCCGTCTAGATTTTGATTACAAGAAAAGGCGTAAAGGCAAGATTGCAGACTCTGAAATTAAGAAAGCATTCGAAAAGTTTGAAGAATCCAAAGACCTGGCTGAGAGAAGCATGTTTAATCTCCTAGAGAGAGATGTAAGTTAGTGTGTATATTCATATATATGATTTTATTATTTGTTTTTGCTTATTAGTTTACATTTTTTAACATTTTTGCAGACATAAATAAATAGTTTGATTGTTTGACATTTTTGTTTTAGGTACAACGGATGCAACACCTCTCAGGGCTTTTAGAAGCAGTAATGGACTACCACCGCCAGTCACAGCAGATTCTCGAAAATCTCAGGAGTAGTTTGCAGAGCAGGTTAGAATCATGATTTCAGCTGTACTTATTTTCTATACTTACCTTGGTTTCATTTAATGTGCCTGTTTATTTTTCACTCTATACAGGATAACAGACGCAAGCAATCAACCCAAAAGGGAATTTGCATCTAAATCAGTTGTGAGCACAGTGTGCTACACGGATATTTATGGATTTTCCACATGCTCATCAGGTGTGATATTAAGTCACTTGATTACATTAAACAGAAACTGTTTACAAAGACTTTCTGAATTCTCTGCTAGTTTAAATGCTGTATTATGTACTACAGATACTGAGGTTACTGAAGCTTTGAGTGAAAAATGTAAGTCATTTTTAATGTGATGCACAAACTCTCAGCTATTTTATAAGGTAGCTGGAAGTACCCCAGCTTGCTTTGCTACTAATGTCTTTCAATCTTTCTTTACCAGATGCACCAGTTGTGGTTCACCCTCCTGACAAAGTCACCATTAAAGCTCAAACAACAGACAAGCCAACCAGCAACAGTAATTTTTTTTTTTGCTTAAAAGTGACCTTAACCTTGGAAAAAAGCTGTATAAATAAAATTTATTTTCTTCTTGTGTGCTAGATGATAGCGGCCCCCCCTTGGACCAGCCTTGCTGTCAGGCACTTTACAGTTTCCAGCCAGAAAACCAGGGAGAGCTAGGCTTTAAGGAGGGGGACATCATCATTCTGACCAGCCAGATCGATGAGAACTGGTGTGAGGGTATGATCAGAGGGGAGGCTGGCTTATTTCCCATGAATTACGTCAAAGTCCTTATACCTCTGCCACAGTGACGGCGGGAAGGCCCTGCAGCTGGACAGCATGAACTGTGCCAGTTTTTGGAGATTCAGAAACTTTGATAATTTGATAAATGTTAATATGTGAAGCACTTCTGAGCCCTTGCTGTATATTTATCTATATTATCACTATGCAAAATCATGTAGCCTGCCTTGTATTCCTTATCTGATTATTTTTTATGAATCTTATAATGTTAAATAAATATGCTGCTATATTAAAGTCTTAAGTATCCTTTATATGTGCACTATGAATGTATATGTGTCTCTGGACCACAAAACCAGTATTAAGTCGCTGGGGTGTATTTGTAGCAATAGCAAACAATACA